GAGAAGGGCAAATACAAGTTATGATTTTCTGCCAATCAATTTTGAGTCATTGTCTTAAAATGGTGTTAAAATTGCTAAAGTTGCATGCATAATTTCACAGATGGAAAGAAATTAAACAATATTTTACTATCCTGCCTAAAACTGGTTTAAGTGTTTTTAGGGTTGGTGAGTTGAAATAAAGCCTGGAATTGAATCATTTCTTGAGTATGATGCTTTCAAATGCAAGTTGTAATTTATAAAATATGTCTATTAAAATAATTTTTCAAGGAAATATGTTCCTCAAGTTCACTGTTATTGCTCTTTCCAGTATTGATGGGACTTCCTTCCTAACCTCTTGTTTGTGGTATGTGGAAAGTCAACATTTTCATTATGTCTTTATTTTGTCTTTGAGTTACATATAATATACATTTTAGTTGTTGTTGCCGTTGAAAGTCTTAAACTAATGTAGTTTCTGTTATTTGGTAAAGTTCTTTGGAATTCACAAGCATCAGTCCATGAGGTATGAAGAAGAATGGTCCTTGCAAAAACCTACAGGGCTCATTTGCTTGAAGTCATTTTTTGAAACCAAAGTGAATATAAATTACTGTTCTTCAAGTCATAATACATCAAATCAACCTGTTTTTCTTGTGTAGTGTTTTTCATGATTCACTAAATTTCTCATTACTGCAGCCTTTTGGCAGACTAAAGTAAGCTTATTGAATATCTGAAAAGTATGTTAAAAATACTTCTAAGCTTTGCAGTGTGAATGCTATGTTGAATTATTTTATGGTGAGCCAGTTTATAAATAAATATGTTCAACTCCAGTGATAGAAATCAAATCTTGAACTTCCTATTTCAAATTGAGTAAGATTTTGTTTCTACTTGGTCATGATGGGAAATTGTTTTCCCTCAGCTTTGCTAATATTTCTGTCCACCTCTTCAAAGCCTCATGCCCAGGGGCAATTCTGGATTGTCTTGTTGAGATGAACCAAAGGGAAGAAAAGCTAATTATCTGGTCAATTTCACTGTTTGTATTTTCTCCATTTTTATCTATTTGAATAGATGAACAGAAATAATTCACAATTTCAATCTCCTCTCTTCCATAAAAGGTACAAACTTTATTCTTCATTGAAAGGAACTATCTACATTGTTCTATAGCGCACTGAGTTTCTCTTTATATTTCTTATCCAAGAGGGCAGTTAAAAATGGTCCTGCTGACAAAATAACAACATTAACAAACCAAATAAGAATCCTTTACAGTTGATTGCAACATTTTCATCATCACTCGGCTTTGTAATCTGTCTTTTCCAAAAGGATTAAAATTTGGCTCCTCAGTGTTCTAATTGACCACCTGAGGTAGGAAACTGATGCCTGTTTTTTGTTTTATTTTTTTCATTAAAGATAATGTCTTATGAAGACATAATTCTTTGATTCACAATTTTAATATAGTGGAGATTTAGGATACTGTCACAATAGAACAGAATTTGCAAATGGAATTTAGGTTTGTTGAAGAAGGCATAAAACCACTTCTCCCTACATTCTACCCCATCAACCTACACTAATTACTACCATGGATATTTGAATGCCATCTATGTTTTTGCTAGTTACCATTAGAAATAGCTATATATGACTACTCAGGCTTCATTTTAGTAAATAGAATAAAATTGATTTACACATTCACTGCTACCTTGGATATTTGAACTCTAATGTGTTTTTGTTAGTTAACATTGAAAATTGGTATATAAAACTTTTCAGCATTATTTTAGTAATAAATAAAATCCAATTTATTAAGCAAAAATACTTGGCTTAGTTTAGATTTTTTTTTCTACATTAAACAACATGGTCATTTTTTAACCTCCAGAAAATGATCATGACGTCTTCAAGTCAGTAACTTAGTTGAGCATATTAAAGTAGCTGTTTATCTTGCCTTGAATGTGTTATAACATTGAAGATCATAAAGTATTTTCTGTCCAGAGTTTTATAGTATCATTGTAGGATGGAAAATGGAACAACAAAATCCAAAGGATGCTTTCCATAAAGCTAAGTATCAAGAAACAGGAAAATTAGAAATGAAGAAAAAGGTACTGAATTGTCATGTAATATCTGTCCTCCTATATGGCTGTGAATGCTGGACAATGTAAATAACTGGGAAGGGTTTCAACAGAGGACAGAATGTGAATTGTAATAGTGAAATATACCTACCAAAAGCTAAATAAAGTATTAAGAAACAGGAAAATTTCATTAGAAACTAAGAAAAGAGTACTGAATTGTTATGTAATATCAGTCTTCCTCTACAACAGTTAATGCAAAACAATCTCTTAACTTATGAAAAGACTTGAAACTACAGAAATACTGTTCTACAGAAGGATGTTAGGTATACCATGGACTGAACAATGACAAAGTTTTAGAGAAAAGGAAAACAAAAAGGACACTTATACTTAACATCAGAAAGAGATCATTGAAATTTCTAGGGCACATAATGAGGAAAGAAGACTTGTAAAATTTGATACTCACAGGACATATTGAAGGCAAATGTGAGAGAGAAACATAGTGCTTAACCTACCTAATGAGCTTGAGTAAATGGTTGGCAAATCAGGGTATTAGGAGAGATAGCAAAAAGACAAAATTTACTAAAAGGAGAGAAAATTGTGGAGAGCCATGATAGTAAACATCCTGAAGGGGCATGGTAAGAAGTAATTTCTAAAGAAATAATAGATTTATTTTTAATCCAATATTTTTATTGCTTCAAACATTATTTTTAGTGGATTTCTATGTTTGAAATAGTTTGAAACATTTTTTTTTATATTATTTTCAACAGTGTGTATTGCATCTGTTCAAGAAAACTTAATAAAGAAAATCCAGAAGGGTTTGAACCTGCATCCACCTTTGTTAGGAGAAACCACTTTTTGATATATGTAATACACACTGGTTAAAATAAAAAAAACAGGGTGTCTGTTTTAAATGTGGTTATCCACTAAAAATAACATTCGAAGTAATAACGCATCATTAGTTCAAATATAAACAGAAAAAAAGATTCTGCCAAAATGTAGAAAAATAACAAGCAGTCATTTAGGGACTAACACAACTGTGGAAGTTGAGGCTTAGAGCATGCCCATAATAAGTGGAGTACCGGGACCTGCTTGAAAGCCTTCAGAGACAAGATTGGAGGAAATGGGGATCCAAAGAAGAGTTAGCAAGAATGGTGAGAAAGGTGCTGGAGATTTGAGAAGACATGGTATCACTTGGCCCCAAGTGGCTTTCTCCAAATAATGCTGGGGCCAATAAAAATACTGAGAAAGGTAGTGGGTGATTTGATAAGACTAGCTGTCATGTGGCCTCCAGTAATAACAACCATATATTTGGCGTCGCCGTCATCATCATTTTATTATTATTATTATTATTATTATCAATTTTTTTTTTTTAACTATCCAGACCATGGTAGAGTTTTTGAGGATACAGATAGATCATATAATCAATGACTGTAGCAAACTGTTCCAGAAAAAATACAAAAGAAGTTATGACAGAGTAGGAACAGATATATATTGGGAACTGTGCAAGTGATTAGGGTTCAACCATTTAGACAAATGGTATGAAAGCATAAACACAAACCAGAGAAAAAACAAAAATCACAAAGCACTTTGTGATTTCAATATGCAGACTGACCACCATGTTAATCAAGAAAACAGATCTGATAAATGTTTATAAATAAAAAAAAAACTATCAGATCAGGAATGTGGCTGTTGCAGTTAAACCCATAAGAAATATGAAGGAGAGCATGAAAGTGGAAAAATACCATGATTTTACCTGGATGCTGAAAAAGATACAGAATATGAAAGTTAGAATAATGCCCATAATAATAGGCACTCAAACAACAGCCATAAACATTACAATTGAGTTGAGATGAGTTAAAAATACAAATGAGGGTTGAGACTATACAGACAATTATGTTACTGGGGTTTGTGAGAATACAAAGGAAGGTGCTGCAGATTTCTAAGGACTTTAGACTTTCAGTCTTTAACAAAGACTACCAGACATCTTATGCAAACATTAAACTATATTATTATTATTATTATTAACTGTAATGTTATATGTTTGCTATTGAGCTTCAGACACTAAGTAGAGGTGAAAGAGAAATAGACAAAACAACTTAACAAATAAAATAAACATAATAAAAAGCACATTGCTAATATTCTTAAAACATAAAGTGTGTATTGAATTTATAACACCAGCCATGACATACAAGTGTTTCAATGAAATCAATTGAAAACGAATGTAGTAATGGTGTGGATAACTCAAAGAGATAGAATAGAATTAACATGGATGAAAGGCAAGGCCAATACAAGAAGTGATTTAAAAACAAAACTAGAGATGAGCAGGACATATAGCAAAAAAAAAAAAAGAAGGTTGGTTGTTTGGTTGGTTGGTTGGCTTAAATCATGTCATATTGTGAGCCCCATAACCGATTATGGTCATAGGGGCACTATTTGCAATGCAGCCATAGCAGTAGTTGTGCTTCTTTGGCAAGAGTGTCTGACAGAGCATATTCCTCCTCTTCAGGTTGGTTTGAATTCAGTGCATTCCTTCTCCTAGAGTGGTTGCCACCTGAAGGCAAGAGAGCTCAGTCAGCCCTGCTATTTAAGCCATAGCTGGGTAGAGGAGAAGAGATGGATTCCTACCTTTCCCAAGGTCATTTGTGCAAAAATGAACAGAAATTAAACCTCAGCTCACCAAATTTCTCTTTCTGGTCTGCTAAGCATTACATTACTCATACATCCATGTTTGCGTAGAGTAGACAGCAGATACAGTAGGAAAAGACCAGATAGAAGTTGGAGAGATGAGATAGAGAAGTTTACTGGTAAGATATGGCAAAGCATAGCACAGTCAGTCACAGTCATCATGGAAAGATTTGAAAAAGGCACACATAATGACTGCTTCTGCTTCTGTTGCTGCTGCTACTGATCATGATGATGATGATGATAAATAAGTAGACATGAGTATCTCCTGAAATCAAATCAACTTACCAGACGTGCTTCAAAACGGAGAATTTTGTGATCATTTTCCATCATTTTAACATAATCCTTTCTCGGGGGTTGAGGCAGTAAGGAGACACAAGACATTAAAGAATCTTCAATTGAACCTAAACCATTGTATGGAGCAATTTCCTGCAGGGAAAGAAGAAAAAAATAGGAAGAATATATAGCAAGAATGTTGCAAAACTATGAACAGCAACTGTAGGCCTAAATTAAAATTAGAAAAAAAGGATAGCAAAATGGAGTAGAATGGGTCACAGAATATTCAAATATATTGGCAACATTTCTTTTTAATTTTTCTTTAAGGAAAATGATAAATTTTAATTTGATTTAAATTTTCCAAACATGAAAAGAAATAATTTTAAGCTGATTTTATTTTATATAAACTAGACTCAATTTAACAGACTTCGAAATAATGGATTTCTAATTTGTCAGATATTAAATTTTCCAAACATCAAAAGAAATAATTTTAAGCTGATTTTATTTTATATAAACTAGACATAATTTAACAGGCTTCAAAAGAATGGATTTCTAATTTGTCAGATATTATCACATGACTGAGATAAATATTCTCTTTTACTTTTGTGTATTTGCTATTAATGAAAACATTGTAAAGTGTGAATCATACTTATGAGAACATGGGGGGTCTCAATGACAAGTTTTTTAAGATAATATTTTATGTTACAGTAGAAAATGGTTATATACCACTGAACTACTTTGTTAAAAATATGAGTAGATATTATATAGTCTTTGTTATCCTCTTTTTCCATCTGGAAAACCGTTTCTATTGCCAAAATGTGCTTTTACTAATTCAGTTGTGGAGGCTATGCTGATAATTTTTTAAATATTCTTTGTTATAAATTTATATTGTTTTGTACAGGGTGAGATGGATAATTTGTCACCATGTTATATTTTTAATTTCACACATGTGTGGTGCTTGTTTTTGATTTTGCCAACTTCACAGTATAATAGGGTCAGTTGGGCACCTTCTGTAAGAAAAAGAGCACCATGACACAATTCACTCTTCCAGAAATTTGAAAATGGCATGGTGTACTGTTTGTCATTTGTGCTGGATGTTCCAATAAAAACATTTCCAAGTGTTTGGGTGTCAATCTGAGGACAGTGCAAAGGATTCAGAAAGAACTGGATTAGTCTAATGGTGACTATGAAGGTGTTTGATCTCTAGTGATGACAACATGCATCCATTCATCTTCCCACAGGGTCTTAGACTCAACATAGCGACCTACATTAAGTGCCTTGAGGAGGTAGTGCTGCCCTGGGTCAAGAGGGTGGCTGCTGGAAGACCCTATGTCTGGCACAGGACTCTGCATTATGCCACACAAGCAGGAGAACCCTGTCATGGCAGTCAGATAATTTCTGCAACTACATCACCCTTTACGTCTTGCCACCTAACTCCCCAAACAACAACAACCCCTTTGATAAACCAAAGATGAACTGAAAGAGAACCATCCAGAAGAGTTGCAGGCTGTGGTTGAAGCCAATGGCAATTTTATGGAATAAATTTACTCTTTAGTATTTCACGATATGTTTGCATAGTTTTAGTAAATATATCTGTTAAAATGAGATGTCAGTATTATTTTCCTTTTTATGTAATTTAGATGACAATTTATCCCTCACACCCTGAATATTTTATTAAAGTTTTTTTATCACATTAAAAATGGTAAGAAATGGCCTACAGACTTTTTTTATACTAAAGTTTACCTGATACAAGGCCCAAGAGCCACTCAAGGTAGTCGGTTACTGAATGAAATGTCAATATTTGCAGACACTGCTTTTTTGAATTTGTAGGGACTTACACATCAAATTTAGTAATGTGCTCAGGGGCTTTGGGGATCATGTGATGAAAGCCGTAATTGATGTTGGTCATTTAATAATTAGCTCCCAAAGGAAACAGAGATGGTAGCCAGTTCTTGCTTAGATGTCAGGATAGGCAGATATGATAGACAACTGGTGAATACCATGCATCCTAAATAAAAAATATAAAAAATATCACCCTGGTTGTGTGTGTCTGTCCTAGGGCCATTATAAATTAGACCTTCTTCTTTAACATACTTTTTGCTTTTTCATATGTGTTCTAATTTCTCTGTGTGGAACAAATTGTGCTAAACATCAATATATTTGTGTAGAACATATTGTATGACATTTTTCTATTTTAGTGCCATATGTAGAATGTTTTCAGGTACAATTCTATCTTTGGAATTAACTCCTTTGTGTTATTATAGTCCTAGCTTCAATTGTTGCAAAGTATTACAATATCATGGATTGACTAATGCCTAATGTGGGCCTTGGAGAGTGGAGAAAACCAAGGCATTTCTTTTCTCTTTCCAAACAACCACATTACACTGTTTTTCCATCAAATCATTGATTTACTATATTGTAATAAATTAAAATAATTGCAATTTTCAAAACATTAATATCACCCGTTAAATTCTTAATATGCAGTTCATGCTTCAAATAATCCTTTACAAACTGTTGCCTTAGATTCAATGAAGCTCATACAAGATAAAGAAAATCCACACCTCTTAACAATATGGAAAAATATCTGCCAATAAAAATGAAATCAGTTTGATTTTAAATTTCTCTTTCATTTACTTACCATTTTTTGAGTGTATTTTTTTTCTTCCTCTTTCACATTAACAGGGGTAAAATCTGTGATTCCAAAATGTTGGTTGTAATAAGCCTTGGTGAAATTGTCACAGTCATAAATGAGAAAATCTCTTCCATATATATGAACAGTCTTTCCAATTCCAAGGTCTGCTGGGCAGATATAATCTTTAACTTCTCTCTCTGTCAATTCTAGAGTTATTGCAGAAAATGTAGACGGAACATCATAACGGTTCTTGGGGACTTTATGCCGGTTGATCAAAACTGGAAAAGGGTCATGTCCATCATTTTGAGTATGAACTTCTCGTACTTCCAGTGTATCATCAGACAAGTAAAACTTGAAAGGAATAAATAAGAAAAGATGCAATTACTTTTTAATCATGCTCCATCATTGAAAAATAGCATAAATCACTATGACTATGAGGGATAAATTTTATTTATGGATAGTAACACAAGTGACTATGCCAAAGATTAATTTATGGTTTGGTTTATTTTGTTTTACAACATATCAAACACAATGGGTTATTTAATGCCAACAAGATTTTTAGGATAGGTGCATATAACTAGAATATGTATTCTTTGTAAGAAATCAGTTTGTAAATCAGGTTTCATTGACATATTTATGTAAAGAGGGGTTTTTGTTGAGAGTGAAATGTATTGCTGATATTTTTTTTTTTTTACAATACTGTATTGCTGCTAATTTTCTTTTTCTTTCAAAAATGTATTGCTGGTATTTTTACTATAAAAATCTATTTTTATACTTTCATAGTGTTTTGACCTCAGTTAGTGAGTTAAATATTTGCCCATAGCTGGGACCCTAACAGTTGCTACCACCCCAGGTCAGATTGGGCCTAAGGACAACGGCAATTAAGAGGTGGCTCCATGCTCCTCAAAACCTCCCAATCACAATCCTTGCTTTTGGATGTAGTTTATCATCATACCCAGGACAATTAATTTATGTTGTGTTAGATTATGTATAAGTACTGCCTGGAAAAAAAGACTTTTGACTGTTTAATCAGTTTCAAAAGAGTGCTGAGAACAGTTGCACACGTTTAATATATTGCTAAACTTGAGTTATAAACATTGCTTCATAAAAATAAAAGATGACAATTATTTTATGCTGAAGAGACTAAAAAAAACTGCAGCAGAAATAGTAATTCTACAAATTACTAACTGATTTCAAATATGTAAAGTCTTTATTAAAAAAAACAAAAACTATACAGATGGCAAGCCAAAAAGGGGAGGGTGGGTCTTTTATTTAACGAGTCTTCATCAATGCTACTCAAAGTGGTGGTCCAGGTACCAGTACTGGTCTGCGAACCATCAGCTATTGGTACATGGCCAGTGTCCAGGCCATACTAAGGAATCAGCTGAAGAATTGGTAGATGCCAGCCAAACGGTACACTGCCATCAGAATTTGTACTTTCGTACCAAACTTGTTACTTTCTGCTTTCAAATGAAGGTTTTGGTACAATCAGTACAACTTTTACTGAAAATTAAAATATTTGGTGCTATCTGAAATAAATTACTTAATTTGGTATTTTTTTAAATAGATTATTTAGCTAGAATATAATTATAATAATGTGGATTTAGGTGAATGTTGATAAGTTTTTATTAATTATAAACCACAAAAAAAAGTATGGAATCATATGTGTTTTATTCCTATGTTCAAAACATGTTCATTTCAAAATCACAGGCAGTTTATTACTTGAATCAGGAAGGTGAGCATGTGTGTGTATATCTGTTTAGCTAGCACAAGTTTTACATATTTAGTATACTTTAACACTACTAATTAATGTTCTCTCATGCATATTTTCAATAAAAGATTTCCCAGTGCATTTATTCAACTTGCATTCTAATATCTTATATTAACTATATACCTGGGGTTATGAAATTTATATTAATTATTTCAATCCCTAAATTACAAATGGCAAAGTGAGGCCCGATGGACAAATTTACTAAACCAAAACATCCTGTTGCCGAACCCACAATTAATTTTGAAATAGATGACAGTGATGTAAATGAAAGTTTTACTCAAAAATATGTCTCCTCATAAATTCAATTCAGTTTTGTAGCCACAGATGATGAGAGAATACAAAAACTACAGTATGTAATTTGTGGAGAAGTGTTGGCTAATGAGTCAATGAAGCCAACAAATCTCAAAAGACATTTAAATACTAAACATGAAGGCATGAGTTCAAAGCCAAAAGAGTTCTTTGAAAAGGAAGCATGTTGATTTAAAAGGCCATCAGAAACAGATCTTTGAAGTGGCAGACATAAATGGCTTCTTATAAACTAGCACTTTGAGTTGCCAAGGCTAAAAAGCCATACACAATAAGTGAGACATTAGTGACAGACTTAAGTAAAGATGTCTATATGGAAATGCTGGACAAGTCATCGGCAAAGAAATTGGCTCAGGTACCACTTTCAAATGACACTATAGCTCGATGAATTCACGATACAGCTCAAGATATGGAAGATCAGCTCATAAAACAAATTAAATTAGCAAAGTATTTTTTTTGCAGCTTGATGAATCTACAGACTTAGCTAATCAAGCAATTCTGATGATGTATGTGCACTTTGAACATGAAGCTGATTTGAAAGAGGAGTTTTTTTTCTCTGCTTCACTACCAACAAAAACATCTAGTTCTGAACTGTTCAAAACTTTGAGTGACTACATCATTAACAAATGTGGATTAGATTTCAAGTTTTGTGTAGGCATGTGTTCTGATGCTGCTGCCACAATGATAATATGGCATTTGGGAGTGATTACACAGGTTAAGGTGCATGCTCAAGAATGCAAGTCGACGCATTGCTTCCTTCACTGAGAAAGTCTTGCAACCAAAAGAAAAATGTCCACAGAACTAAACAGTGTACTCAGCAAAACTGTAAAAATTGTGAACCATGTAAAAGCAAATGCTTTAAATTTGAGACTATTCACTGCATTATGCGATAATATGGGGGTTGAACACAAACAGTTCCTATTACATGCCAATGTACATTGGTTATCAAGGGGTAAAGTCCTGTCAAGTGTATTTGAACTATGAAATGAGCTTTTCAAGTTTCTTCAAGACAAAACCCAAATTGGTCACAATTGCTCACAGATGTGGATTAGCTAGCCAAACTGGCTTATTTGGCTGATATCTTTGCCATCTTTAATGATCTCAACACCTCTATGCAGGGAAGGATGTCTTCATGTTTTACAATGGCAGACAACATTGATGAACAGAAACAAAAGCTAGAAGCATGAATGATTCAAATGTCAAGAGATTCTTATAATATGTTTCATCAGTTAGCAAGAATCATTAATGATAGAGACAAAGACTTTGATATAACATCTCCATAAAATGACATCAGTGAACACCTGACAAATCTGGTAGACCAGTTTCAGTTTTACTTCCAAGCAGAAGATCCAAAGAAAAGGAATGGATGGATCCAAAATCCGTTTATTCCACTGCAAGATGACTTAAGTGTCAGTATGGAGAATAAATTGTTAGAGATGGCTGCTGACGAAGGATTGAAGAGGAGTTTCAAAACTACAACTTCACTTGGTTCATTTTAGATAAAGGTGAAAGCAGAATATCCTGAGCTTAGTGAAATTACTTTGAAGAATCTTCTCCTATTTCCTTCAACATATCTCTGTGAAACCGGCTTCTCAACCATGAGTGTTATTAAGGCAAAATACAGGAATAATATGGATATTCATTCTCCATTGTGCATGGCACTGTCCTCAATTGAACTATGACTGAATAAGCTGACAAAGAAGAAGCAGGCTCACCTTTCACACTAGTAAAGATTAAGGTTATATAATTTTTGTTTTTGTGTTAATAAACTGATTATTTTTTATTACTTTTTATATGTTTTGATATTGAATTATTTTTTGCAAAATAAATGAAAGATAAAAAATAGTCAACTTTTATTATATCCATTATATATATCGTTTCCAGTATAAATTAATATTATACCATGAAATATTACAAGTATGTGACACATTGAGAAAAAAAATGTCAGTCCACCATATCAGATAGTTTGAGAAGCATTGGTCTATATGATAATATGTATGATCCCATATAAACTGATGCTGAAAAGTTCTTTAGCTAATCAAGAAAGTTTTAAAAAATTCTGATGTTTAATCAGATTTGAGGAAGTTGGTCTTGCTGAGAACTTCCAAGCACTCTTTACGCATATGTTTACCCTCTAAGAAAATGATAACATGAGAATTTTATTACTTATTATTTCTTAAAATCACTACAAATTAAACAGAATGGGAATTGATTGTGGTATCAAAAGGTTGGATGATGACCTGAATAAATTTTATCAAGAAAGTAGAATTTAAACATATGCCACATCGAGTTTTAAAAAGAAGATATTGATAAATCGTTTCACGTAATTTAGAATTTTTGCAATTAATATTTTCTGGTAACAAAATTAAATTATAAATCATTAGGTTCATATCTTAATTGCTTCCTAATTTGGAAACTAACAAACATTTTTACTCATTTATCCTCCTCCTATTTCAGTGCCATTCTCCTGAGTAGAACAGAGCCACAGCTGAAACAATTGTAGGGATACAAAAGATGATTACCTCCCTTTGGTCAAGATAAGTCATGTGATGGCTGCTTCATGATATCATGACATACAGTGACAAAAGTGGCAGCCAGTTTCAGTTTGTTGACAAGATTCAAACAAAGCAGTCATTTATTTGGCTTGGGCCTCACAACCTGGGCTGAAGTTAAATCTGCTTCCCTAGCAGCTTACAAGTCAATGGTGCCATCTCACTTTGGGAATATAATTTTTACAGATATAGAAAGAAACTATCTCTGGCTAGCAGTCCAGGAAAATCCAAGATTCACCATTTCCAGTTCAAAGAATATGTCCTCACTTGTGACATAGTAGATAAATTTAGCCAATTTTAAAACATGGAGTCCAGAAACACAGAAAAATCGCCATATTATATTTAAGACCCTATCTTTTCATTGTGCTTCTTGTGTAGATATATGTTATATTTTTCTCTGCATGGGATACATGTAATTATGTAGACATAATTGCGTATATGACACAGCATCATAAATCTCTTTCTGAGAACAAAGCATCTTTGTCATTCCTTTTCCTTTCAGCCTTTCCATCCCTGAAATACAGTGCTGTTATATCATGGATATAATAATGCCCATAATGGGGGAAAATATAAATGGGAGCATAAAAACCTTCCTTCCATAGCTCTCTCCCATTATATAATCAATCAAATGAAAACAATTCAAACTAGGAGTTGTTTCTGTAATTTCTGTAGCAAGTTTTATGGAGTAGAATTTCCAGCAGCATGTCCAACCAATTTTGAAT